TTTTCTCTCTGTTTGTCTGCCTCTCTCTTTACCTGTCTGTCTATTTTGTCTGTCTGCTTACCTATCCATCTGTCTTACTGTCTATTTATCTGCCTAGTCGTCTATATTTATCTATCCGTCTCTCCATTTACCTGTTTCTATCTATTTGTCTGTATATCTCTCTATCTATCTATCTACCTATCAATTCATCTATTTATTTATTAATCTATCTATCTTTCTATCTATCGATCGATCTATTTATCTGCTTATCTACTTATCTATCTTTCTATCTATCTATCTATTTATCTATTTATCTATCTATATATCTATCTATGAATCTATTTATCTATTTATCTATCTGTCTATCTACTATTTCTTATGTATCTAGCTATTTACATCTTTTATCTCCTTTTCTTTCTTCGCATTTTCTTTTTTTTTCCTTTCTTTCTTTCTATCTGTTTTTTTTTTTTTTCCTTTCTTTCTTTCTATCTGTTTTCTTTTTGGTATCGTTCTTTACTTCCTTCCTTACTTCCCCTCCTTTTCCTTTTTCTTCGCATTTTTGCTTCTTTCTGTTTTCACTCTCCTTCCATATTCCATTTTTTCCCCTCGTGTTTCTCCCTCTCTTCTCATCTCCTCTCTTCCATCCATTTCTCTCTCTCTCTCTCTCTCTCTCTCTCTCTCTCTCTCTCTCTCTCTCTCTCTCTCTCTCTCTCTCTCTCTCTCTCTCTCTCTCTCTCTCTCTCTCTCTCTCTCTCTCTCTCTCTCTCTCTCTCTCTCTCTCTCTCTCTCTCTCTCTCTCTCTCTCTCTCTCTCTCTCTCTCTCTCTCTCTCTCTCTCTCTCTCTCTCTCTCTCTCTCTCTCTCTCCTTTGTTTCCCCTTCCCCCTTCCTCTCACTTCCTCCCTTCCCTTCTCCTGTTTTTTTCCCAATATTTCCTTCATTATTCCTCCGTATTTTCTCCTTCCTCCTTCTATTCCATTTCCACTACGTCTCCCTCCTTCCCTCTCCCATCACCCTCCCTATCCTTCTCCCCTTCTCCCTTTCTCCTCTTCTTCTCTCCTTCCTCTTCTTGTCCTATTGTCTCTCCTCTTCGTGCCTCTTACCCCCTCTTTCTTCATTTCATCCTCCTCTTCTTCCTCCTTCTTACCTCTGAGCTCCCTTCCTCTTTTACTTCTTGTCTCTCTTCCCCCTCATCCCTCTTATCTTCTCCCCCCCCCCTCCTTGCCTCTCCCATTCCTTCCTCCTCCTCTTCACTCTCCCACCCCTCCCCCTTTTGCTTCCCCCTCCTTCCTCTCTCTCTCCTCTCCTCCCTTCTTCCTCTCCCCTCCCCCTCCTCCTCCCCTTCCTCCCTCCTTCTCCCCCTCTACCCCTCCCCACTCTTCCTGCCTCCTCTTTCCCTCCCTCCCTCCTTCTCCCCCTCCTTCCCTTCCTCCCTCATTCTAACCCCTCCTTCCCCTCTCTACCCCCACTCTTCCTCCTCCTCCTCCTCTACCCCCTCTTTTTTCGCCCCACTCTCCCCCCTCTACCCCCACTCTTTTTCCCCCTTCCTTCCCCTCCTTCCCCTCCCCCCCTCCCCCCCTCCCCCACCCTCCCACCCCCCCACCTCCCCCACCTCCCCACTTCTCTCCAAGCGGGACTCCCTCAGCGGCGCTCGCCCCTTTGCCGAACTGTGCTCATAACTCCCCGTTTTGTGCGCCAAGACCCAAGTTCTGAACGCCAGTTTTCGTATGTCAATAAAGCGCCAATGTGAACACCACTTGAAGCTTGAATGCCACCGTACCGCCATTTCATACAGTGAATATTCAGAAAGTTCTACAATCCGCCCGCCCGTCCGCCCGCCCGCTCGCTCTCTCTCTCTCTCTCTCTCTCTCTCTCTCTCTGTCGCTGTGGAGGAGCCGCTAAGCCACTTCAAGAGGGGAGGGTTGGGGAGGGTTGGAGGGTTGGGGGGGAAGGAAGGAAGAGGGGGGGGTTGAGGGAGGTTTGGTGGGGGGGTTGATGAGGAGGGTTGGAGGGAAGGAAGGGGGGGATTGAGGGAGGTTTGGGGGGGGTGATGGGGAGGGTTGGAAGGAAGTGGGGTTTGTGGGGAGATGAGAGAGTGTTGGGGATTAGGGGTTGGGGAGGAGGGGTTAATGGGGAACGGAACTAACGGTTTTTTTTTAAATTGGGGGAGAGGTAGGGGTTGTAGGTGGGTGGCGAGGGGAGAGGTTGGGGAGAAAATGAGGTTCTGAGTGGGGGAAAGAGAGGTAGTCATCTAGTGGGGGAGGAAAGTGGGGAAGGAGGGGGGGATATTCAGAGTGATATGTAGAGATAACATGAGGTTATTGGAGGAAGAATGGGGATGGGGGGGGGGGGAGAAGTAAGGACAGGAAGGTGTTAATCGAAAGTTGAAGGGAATTGAAAGGCGGGGTTGCAGTGCAATGAATCTTAATTGCTAATGAGGTAATACATAGTAGCGATAGGCGCTCGTAATGAGAGTAATTAGTTTTCTTTAATTACGTTGAGGTAATGACACGTAGCTGAATT